TGCTCCAGGCTGAACCCCTCCAGCTCCCCCAGCCGCTCCTCGTAAGACTTGTGCTCCTGGAGGATTGTGTGGAAGCGAAACCTTCCGTTTCATTCAGGGGGTGGAGCCTTACGCAGTTTGAAGTTTAGGAGATAATAGTATTTTAGAGTTTTCTTTAAATCTTCACTTTGTTATGTTCTTTTAAACTGTCACTAAACACCTCTTGGGAGCTGGGTAGAAAACTTTCAGGAGAACATAGTTTCTTGGCTGAACTCTTCAGAAGAGAGATCCTCTCCCTGTTTCAAGGTGGTCTAGGGTCTTGATGGAAACCACCATCCGAAAGACCTCTTTGCTTTAGACTCTTGATTGTCTTTCGGCTTTTAATCCTAAAAATCACAGAATAATTGAGGTTGGAAGGACCCTCCAGAGGTCTTCATAGCATCCCTGTGCTCAAAGCACAGCCAACTTCAAAGTTAGGTTGCTCAAGCCCCATCCAGTTGAGTTTTGACCAACTCCAGGGATGTCCCAGAGCTGTCCCACTCCCACAGGGAAGAGTTTCCCATGTTGTGACTTCCTCGTCCTCTTGTTGCACGCGTCCAGGTTGAGTTTGGCTTCATCTTCTCTACACCCTCCAATTAGTGGTTGTAGCCTGCACCTTCATGCTCTCATCTTGAAGCAGAACAAGCCCAACTCCCCCCGCCCATCTTTATCCATCGCGTCCTCCAGTCCTCGATGGTTGGGGACCTTCACTGGGCTGCCTTGGTTGGGTGTTGGATCTATCAACATCTCTGTGACCTCCTGACGCAGCGGGACAACCTTGTTCATTATTACAGCTACAATTTGGTGTGTCATTAGTCTTAAAACAGATGTTGAGTAGCTTCGGTACAAAATAAACCGGAACCTTTGGGTAGGAAGCCTCTGCCACGTCCTCAAGGTGCATCCTGGTGTTTTCTGGGGTGGCGGTGAAGGTTTATGCAAATTTTATTTTATTTTACTTTTTTTTTTTTTTGCACCTTGAAATGTTATCGAGCCTCTTAAGCAGAGCTTAACGACACGCTCATCAACCCTGGCCGTGACGGCCTCCATGAGCTGGGGCTCCTTTGGTTCTTCTGGAAGATGCTGGTATCTCTCAATCTGTGGCCTTTGAAATGTGTTATGTAAGTGACTGTCACCGAATTTGTCTAGAGCCAGGGCTGCTAAGTCTAGGAGAGCTCCCCATCTCTGCGTAACCACTCCCATGCTGGGAAACTCACAGCTTTTCCTTTATCTTTTGGCTTTCTGCATGGGTTTTGGGCCACGGCCTCATGCGACGGCTCAATTTTGAAAGTGTCTTGATGGTCTTGGCTGGGTCGCTTTAACTCTTGGGAGAGAGGAAAAACAGAGAGGAGAAACCGGTGGCCCTGATACGAGGGTGTTTGACCTCTTGGAGGAGAGACCGTGAGCTTCAAAATGAATTCCAATTCGCTGTGCTCTCTCGGGAGAAGCCACGGCCACGCTCCTGTGGTTAGAGGAGCAGCTCTTGCTGGATTACCATAGAGGGTAAATTTGAGCCTCCTAAGTCCAAGACATTAAACTCCCTCATCTCTCGCTGTTTCCAAGAAACCGGGATTTGCAGGGAGTGCAGTTACGTGCTCATCAGGAGAAAGATAAATCACTGCATGTTTTCCTCTAAAGGAGACAGTTGCTAAAAATAGGAGCCGCGCTGGAGCTCCGGAGAACAAAAGAGTCCCTGGAAGGCTCCTGCCACCGTTGTTTCTTGGCGATTGGTGCTCTCTGCCCCTCTCCTTCCATGTGCTGGGGATTTATGGAAGTGTTTAAAATCCGCAGGTCTGGGAGGGTTGGGTTTTTTTTCCCGTCCTTTCCCCCAGCATTCCCACCCTGGCCGATTGGTGACTCAGGCTTTCCTGAATGAACGCTGCCGGTCTCCCGTGACCTCGGCAGCTTGGCCCTGGATCCCGCCAGCTTTTTCCGAAATGATTTTGAAGCCAAAAGGACCTGATCTGGGAGCCAGGGATGCTGCCGCCTCTCCAGGATGGGCTCTGACAACACCGATGCCGAGTAAACCCCAGTGATGTGTGCGATTCCAGCTCCGCATCTAGATGAAAGAGCTCCAACCCCATCATCTCCGGATGAGACCTACATGTTGGAGGTGCTCAGCCTTAAAAGTCTCGCCTCGAAAGTGGCTCACCTAAGATGTTAGAAGGAGGAGGAGCCAACCCTGGCTTTTCCCATCCCTCCCTCTGCTTTTGGGGCAGGTCCTGCCCTGTCTCCGCCATCTCCATAACCAGCATGGTGGCCTGAATACCACCTTCATCCTGGTTTTATGGCACATAACCGGTAATCCATAGATTATCCCAGAATAAACGCAAACTGAGTGGCTGCATCCATCCCGGAGGGGACAGAGCTCGGTTTGGGCTTCAGAGGCTCTCACGGGCTGAGCCCCACAGATTGTTGCATCAAACCCCATCTCCTTGGCCACGTGTTTCCAAAGTGCTCCCCGTTTCTTTCCCAGGGCATGCAGCTTTGATTCTGCGCTCTCTTGGCTTTGCGTTCAACATTAAAGGCTCTCTGGGGCACTGGGCTGGTGCGTGGTGGAGGCTAAGCTGCTCCTGGCCGCATTCCTTTTCTCCAGGAGCCCCAGGCGTGGTCTGTGCTGGGTCCACACCCTCCATCAAACTGTGGACATCTCCTTCTCATGGTCTCCTGGTTCCTTCCACCGCGCTGGTGAGCTCCAGGCAACTCTTGGGCTGTTGGGCATCCCATGACCCAAGATGATGATGATGATGGGAGCAGGGATGTGGGACAATTTCTTGTCCCATCAGTAAGCTTGCTTGCCTGGGGCCGGGCTGCTGGGCTGCCCATGACCCAAGATGACGACGATGGGAGCAGGGACACAGGACATTCCTTCTCCTGGCGGCAAGTGTGCTTGCCTGGGGCTGGTTTGCAGCAGGAAACAATGTGGATTCACCCAGCTGTGCCTCGGCTTCCCCAAGCTCTCAGCCTCGCCTGTAATAACAAGAGAGTCCCTGCTTTCCATACAGCTGGGACAGGCAACGACGCGTGGTCGGACCAGGACGGGGCAGGGTCTGGCATGAGGAGCGAGATCCCCGTGTCCTGTCCTGAGCTCAGCCCCAGCTGACAGAGCTTCTGGGCCAGGTAGGTTCGATCCAGCTGTCTTCGTTGGACGCATCCAAAGGCTTTCTTCCTCTTGAGGAAGGACCTGTCTGGATCTGATGTATCTCAGCAGGCTCTGCTGATCTTTGGGAGGCTTTTGCCTGCCTGTCCTCGCTGCCCCAAATCCTGCCTTGCATCTTCTTGTGAGCAGGCTTGGAGGTGATTTAGCCTAGGAGCCATCCCATGGGTTCGGCCAACGCCGGAGCGAAGCAAAGCTCCTCCAAGCCCCAGATCATGCTTGGGCACCTGGAGAAGCCCTGCGTGTGCCGGTCCAAGGGCAGGGACGCTTGCCGGCACCAGTGAGGCTCATGAACCCTGTCCGTAGAGCGGGGGAACCACTCTCCTTCATAGGATGGACCAAGACAACCCTTGCCAGCCGCTCGGCTGCGGCTCCGTGCCGGATACCTCTCCGGTGAGCAGGGGCGGCGGGAGTGCGGCCAGCGGCGTGTGCATCTTCCCGTTAAACTGCTTAGCTGCAGGAACGATTATACATCAAATAGTTGCACGCGGGATTAAACCCTCTTAAGTGTGGCTCGGAAATCCTCCCGTAATCCGGAACCGGCTGTAGGAGGGAAGGACGGGCAGCAGGAGCAGAGGGGGTTTATCTGCTGGGAAAGCTTTTTTAACACCAAAAAAAAAAAAAAAAAAAAAAAAAATTTCACTTTATTGCAAGTTGCGTTGAAGAAGCCTCACTTGGGCACTGACCTTGGAGCTTTCCTCTCTGTTGCAGATGAGCCTGATCCTGCCCTCTCCGGTGCCGTCCCAGCCACAGCTCACAGGACCGAACTCGGGTAAGTTCCCAAGGGATGTCACAGAGTGGGAAGCGCCCAGGAGCCTGTCTCCCCTTGCTAATGGTTACTCCAGTTACACAAGCCCCAAAATATCTCCCTGCCTGTCCCCGAAGAAGGCTGTCCCACCACCGAGGACATCGGCAGGTCCCTTTGGAGCCAGCCAGCGCAGTCCCCTCACTGCAGAGCAGCGTGAGCTGCTCTAATTTATCTCATTTGTCCTGCTTCCCAACAAGCCACCCTGCTTCTGCCTACCTTAAATTCCCCCCTCGGAGCTATCCCGGTTCCCCCCCCTCGGAGCTATCCCGGTTCCCCTCCTCGGTGCCGCTGGAGCCGTTCCTGCTGCGAGAGACAGAGAGAGATGCTTGGAGGTGGATGCTTCATTTGGTCGCCTTGGGTGTCCCAAAGCTGCCAAGGGGTATCCCAAATGGCTCTGGCACCCTGGAAAAGGCAGATTTTTGGGGTGCTGGCCCAAGGCCCATGCGGGGCAAAAGTCTTTGTCCCTCGTGGCAGCGGGGACCCGCGCCTGGCTCAGAATCGTGGCCTGTCTTAACCTGTTTAGCAATGCAACCAATGCCCAGCACGTTTTAATGGGCTTATTTTAGTATCTGCTGTTGACTGATCCTTCCTGGGCCAGCGGTTTCCTTAGCGAGTTATTTTTAATAACGTTTGCAGGGCTTACGGTGCATATGGGAATCGCATTTCCCCGATATTAAGCCACAAACAACGGTGAGCCCGTCCTCCAGTCCGCAGTAATTTCTCCCGAGTAAAAATAAGGAAAGGTTTGGAGCTGGGAGGTCAAAGCGCAGTGGGGTGGGAGCCCCTAAACTCGGCTTTTTCCAGGAACAAGCTGGAAATAAATAGGTTTAAAAAGAAGGAGAGAGAGAGAGAGGCAGTGCGAGAACCGTGTGGAACTGGCAGCCCTGCTGTCTCCGACAAAGGCGCTTTGTTCTCCCGGCAGCACAACTTGACCCGTGAGATAGTGTTTTGCTGGCCCTGGAGCAGCTCCTTGCACGAGGTCTTGAGTCACCGGGCTTCTCCGGGTGTCGGGCTCTGCGATCCGACAGGTTTCTTCCCTAGGGATGGTTGAAGCAGGGAGCAGGAGCCGGGAGGTGGGGGTCTGTGTCTGGCTTTTGGCCGTGCATCCGTGCCACGGGTGCTGCGTAGAGGGAGAAGCTGGACATGAAGCTGGCTGTGGAGGACAGAAGTTGGGTGGCACCCTTAGGGCAGGGATGGGGACATGGAGCCTCGCTCCACAGCTCAGCGCATGCCACGAGTTTGCTTGGCCCCAGAGCTGGCATCTACCAAACCTCCGTGAAGCTTCTGTCAGGGACATTGAGTCTCCTGGGTCTTCTGGGCCCCAGTTCAGAAGCCTAAATGTGGGGATCTGGTGCCATTCGAGGCTCTCTGCTGCCCCACTGAGCCTCGTGCCACCCCAGCAGAAGGGCTCGAGGCTCTTGTAGATCCTATCTCATAACTGTTGGTCCCATGCAGATGTTGCCAATCCCTCGAGGCATCTCAGAGAACATCAAGTGTTTCTGTTGCACCCTCACATCCCTCACCACATCCCTTCTTCTTCCAGGAAAAAGCCTCCAAGCCCAATGTAGGACTTCCAAAAAACCCACCAGGCTAGGACTGCCCGTGGGTATACTTGGCCCCTCTCTAGCACCCAACATGTCTTTGGTGCCATGGTGGTACCCGCAGTACTCATCTGGGTGGCATGGGGCCACCCAATCCCACTGTAGAGCTCACCCCATGGAGGCTTACGTTCTCCAGCTGCTTGATGGGGTCTTCCCAGTTTTGGGGTCCTTGCTGAGGGTTTGGAAGAGGATGGGGAGGAACCACCTTGAGCCACTGTGACCTGGGGTCTCCGCACAGGGAAGAAAGACTTCCCACTCCTGCTGTGGAGAGGGATCACCCAGGGACTTTCATTTAATCATGGAGACAAACCATCCTTTGGTCCCAGAGACCTTTGGTATGGTCCACGTTGATGCTTAAATCTATTTTTATGCAACTTTGAAGAGTTTGTTGGCCTGTTCTTTGGCCTGATGGTGATTAAGTGTCATCGCTAAGAGCAAACCTCCCTGTTGAGCTGGCTAAAAAGGAGGCAATAAGGTGTCCAAGCATCCTGAGAAATTAAGAGGGCAAAAGGAAGAAGCAGAGAGTCGGGTGGAGCGAGGAGAAGATGACTTGCGGCCCAAGGCAGGAATCGGTGATGTGGTGGTGGGAACCCAGTGCTCCTGTTGTACCTGGCACGAGCGTGGCCAGGCCACCGTCAGGAGCAGACACAGCCGCTGCTGAAACGAGCTTGGAGCAAGCCCAGAAGATGACGTAGACATTATTCTAGCTGCACGTGGCCAAGGGCGGGTGGGAAGGGATGGGCCTGGTTTTGTCCCAAGTCTTTTAATATTTAGGGTGATATGGGAGTCACCAAGAAATCCGCAGCCTGTGTTACGTGTGTATAATGCCACGCAGGCTCGCTCTGGTTCCAGGACAACCCTTTTGTAAATGGAAACACTTCTATTACCCCGTTAACCGGTTATTAACTCTCAAAACTTCTTTGCAGCTCCACGAATGAAGAGCATTTGGAGTTCAAGAAGGTTTTGTACAGAACGGATGCCAGGAGCTCCCTAGACCTGCGAAACATGACCGTGTCTGGCAGCATGACCTGGGACACCTCCGCTCTGGAGACGAGAGCAGGCGATGAGAGAGAAGAAAGCACTTTAGAGAGACTCTCTGGCTTGAAGGACTCGAAGGACGCGCGGTGCGTCAAGGAGTCGGCATTTGCCGTGGAGCCCCAGGTTGTAAATACAGTGCAGGTGGATCCTGAGCAACTGGAGAGCGACTCCGAGGACCTGGATGGCGGCAAGGCGCCAGCAGAGACGCCCAGCCCTTGTGCAGGGGCATCGGTTGGCGGCGGGGAAGAGAAATATCTTAAAAATGAACCAAAGCAACTTGAAGGCCTCAGCAAAGAGCACTTAGATAAAAGCAAGAGGGGAATCCAGAGGGTCGACTGGATTTCTAGACCCAACAAAAGCCCAAGTCCTCACTACAAAGACATAAGCAAGCCAACAGATGTAGCAACCAACTTGCCCTTTCGGGGACAGGCCGTGCGTGAAGTGCCTCCTCCGCTGACTCCGACGGTGTTCAGAAAAACGCTAAACCCTGTCCTCGGCAAGTCCAAATCCCTGGAGAGCTCCTCGTCCCACAGGAAGGGGCTGATGGTTGACTCGGACTTGGGTGAGATCAACCCGCTCAACGCGGCCGAGTGGACAATCCAGAAGCCGGGTCTTCAGCTCGGCGCAGACCTAGGTGTTGCCAAACAGTCCTGGACGGTAAATGCCGAAGACTCGGTGGAGCGGATCCCCTTGATGTCTCTGGAGCCTGCTCCCTGCAGCTCCTATGACATCGAGATGAGGCCCTACGTGTGCAGCGTCTTGTTGGAGGAGCAGGGGAAAGAGGAGCTGGGTCCGGAGGAGGACCCAACGGTGTACACCTGCATCGAGTGCAGCATTTACTTCAAGAAGAAGGAACATTTGATGGATCATATGCTTCAGCATAATCGTGGACCAGGGAGGGACCAAGACAGAGATGCTTTGGGAGGGCAGTGTCAATTCTGCTGCAACGAGTGCGGATGGGCCTTTGGAGACCCCACGTCTTTGGAGCAGCACAAAAGGCTCCACCAAGAGTCTAGGGAAAAAATTATCGAAGAGATCCAGAAGTTGAACGAGTTTCCAGACGAAGGTCGGGAAGCCCGGCTGCAGTGCCCCAAGTGCGTCTTTGGCACAAACTCCTCCAAGATCTTTGTCCAGCACGCCAAGATGCACGTCAAGGAGAGGAAGGACCAAGGGGCAAAGAACATGAACCTCTTTGGAAGCGCGGGCAGTGGAGAAATCCGGGATAGCCCCGTGCATGGCATCTACAAACACTTCAAACCAAATGAACACATGTCCCTGCAGGTGCAGGTACCACCTCATGGCAGCGGCAAAGGGCTCAGCACCTGTATGCTCTGCAGCTTCCCGGCCCCCAATGAGAACATCCTCAAGGAGCACATGAAATACGCCCATTCCCACCTCTCCTGGGACACGGAGGTCTATGAGGATGACCCAAATCAACCAGGAACTAGCAGAGATGCCTACAGCCCAGCCAGGCCAGGCCGGTTTGCAGAGACTGATTATTTCGGCAAAGCAGACCGGCTCTTCCCTCCACCTCACCGAGAAAGCACATCGCATTACGAAGCAGTCCACGGTTTTGCCCTAACTCATCCAAGACTTGACAAAAGCAACGGGGCTAGCAAAAAGGACTACCAGACATCAGGGTTTCATGCCAGGAAAGCAGCTCCGTATTCTGCCCCGCATAAAAACCTGGGGTTGTCGGGTTTTCCCTCCACTAAAGCTTATTCCCAGTTTGCTCTGCAGCAGCTGAAAAAAAAAGCAGCAGGTCAGCACCTTGAAGGGGAAGGCGACGGTCTCAGGAGCCACCCAATGGGGCTGGAAGAGCTCAGGCACAAGTGGATATTGGCCAACGACGCTGGGAGCGTGGAAGAGGAGATCTCCGTAAGCACAGAAATAGATTTGAGCGAGAACAGAGGCATCAAGCCCGTCACCATCCCTCAAGCTGCCTTGGATCTCAAGAGGACGTTCAGAGACACCTTGAAAGCCACGGACTCTTCGATAGCTTCGGAGGAGCAGCAGCAGCAGTTGCGGAAGATGGTCCCCATCGTCCTCCTGGAGGAGGTGAACCTGCACCCCAAGGCGATGAAGCGGCCTCGGGGGAAGCCATTCAAGAAGAAAACCATGCTCCCTTCCCGGGAATTCATGATGGAAGAGCCCCTTCCCTTGGATATGCTCCTACTGGATTCTCCTCTGGAGGGTTCTCTGGAGCTTGATGACCTCTTGGACTCCGACTCGCCCATGTTGAAGAACGAGGAGAGGAAATGTCCCTATTGCCCCGACAGGTTTCACAACGGGATCGGGCTGGCGAACCACGTGCGGGGCCACCTCAACAGGGTGGGGGTGAGCTACAACGTCCGTCATTTCATCTCGGCGGAAGAAGTGAAAGCTATTGAGCAAAAATTTTCCTTCCAAAAGAAGAAGAAAAAAGGTAGTATGTATTCAATTCACCGTGCTTTCTATTTTCTTATTTTAATCGGTGGGGTTTTCTCCTCCCACTGAGAATCGGGTACGTATGGGAACTGTGGTCAACCTGAACCGGGGTGGCCACGGCACAGCCGGTGGCATGCGGTTGTCTTGGGTGCAACAACCCTCCCCCCTCCCCCCCCAACCTTGGAGGCCTGATCGAGGGGTTTTAGCCGCGGCGCTGACTGTCTGTCCTTCTTTCCGCAGTTGCAAACTTTGACCCGAGTACTTTCAGCCTGATGCGCTGCGAATTCTGCGGGGCCGGTTTCGACACGCGAGCGGGTCTTTCCAGCCACGCCCGAGCCCACCTGAGAGACTTTGGTATTACCAACTGGGAACTCACCATCTCGCCCATTAACATCCTCAAGGAGCTGTTGGCCAACTCCTCGGAGCATCCGATGCTGCAAGCGGCGATGGGAGCGGAACCCTCGTCCCCGAGCCGAGAGAGGGAAGCTCACGGCTTTGTGCCCCGCAAGAGCATGACCCCCATGTCCGAGTGCAGCATTCCACGGTCTCCTCTGTCCCCGTTCCCCCCATCCTGGGGAGACGAGTCCCTGCAGTCCTACAGAGATGGTAAGTGTCCCTGAACACTCCGTGCAAGCCGGAAACCCCCTGTGATTTTCACTTTT